AAGCAAATACAGTAAATAACTTAATCAATGCGCCAGTCGGTCGTTTCAAACTTTTTCTCAAAGGTAATTAACCTGCCTTATTTGCGCCTACTATTCGATGTCTAAGTTGAACTTATTCGGGAACCCGTTTAGTTTCTTGGAACCCCTATATCACTTAAGGAACCCGTTAAGTTTCTTGTGAACCCTCTATTGCACTTTTACCGATAAATTTTTTTAGCAAGTTTGTCTTGAGTGTTAAAAAAACGAGTCAAGGTACTTTAAAATTACTTTTGATATCTGACTGTGTGACAACTATTTAACTAAGGAAATAGTTCAAAATGGGAAAGCTATTTAATAACCTTTTACTAGAAAGACCTGGATGGGATGATCTAAAGAAAAAATATTAGCGCCAAGTGGGCTATCAAGGTGACTGAAATTACATGCCCCTGCTAAATTTTATAAAATAATTTTACAAAAACATGATTTTGATTTTTTGTCTGTCTCAAAAAAAGTAAACAATAACTGGATCCAGAATATTAGGCATAGGGAACATAAAACAGGAAAACCAAGATAAAAAAAGAAAGAACCATTCCAAAAAATACGGTTAGAAGTACTTAAAAACTTTGCCACGACTTATAGAAATAAAAACATTTTAGAAATAAAAACATTGCAACGACTTGATTGAGCTTTTGTTTGCAAATTCTAAGTTTCAGTCGAGTGTGTCAAACAACATATCTTTATTTAAAAACTTCACAAATATTGAAAAACTAAAACTTAAAAAGCTCAGAAACCCAACAACTGGAATAATTAACAAAAAAAACATTCAAAACACATAAGGGAAGGAAATTTAACGTTTAAAAATAAAAAAAGCTTTCTGACCGAATTTTTTACGGGATTTTTAGGGCATTTTTGAATGTAAAACCGAAAATTGGCCATGGCTGTGTGAAAAAGGCACGCGTCTCTCAACATGGGATCATTTTTTCGCATCAAACTTTGGTTTCTGTTGGAGGAGTCCCACTGTCACCCAACTCTTCAAAGTGGGACCGGCTACCACAAAATGGATGACCTTCACCTCCCTCGCGAGTGGTCCTGCCTTGAATAGGACCTAAAGTTAACGAAAAAGAGTAAAATAGAATGAACTTAAAGTATCCGCCGAAAAATTAAGGCAAGATTTATTTGCTTTCGATCGTTTATTATAATTTTAGATTATTATCACGACCTCAAATTTGTTTAAATTATAAGACCGCGGTACGTCATTTTGAACTATGTTAATTTTGCGCTCATACAAGCTTTTAGAGATAACAACGAGTTGCCTTTTTATCGATTGTCAAGAACACAATTTTGGGAGATTCCAGGGTTGATTAAATAATCATTGCCTATTGTATAATAACCATTGTTATTACAATCTACCCCTTCTAATTCATGATTAAAAAAAAATCATGATATTTCGCGTATCATCCATTGAACCCAGTTCTGATAAAAAAAGTTTTTGGCAATACTGCATGTCGGTTTTTTTTGGTAGGGTATTTTTTTGTTCACCGTGGTACAATGTAGTTTTTACATTCTTCTGAAAGATCTAAGATCTTTTTTGTTCTTCGCCTAAATCATAGGCTACAATAATGATTTAATGTTTGGTGTTAGTTGTTTTGCAATGAGCTTATTTTGGATCGTCATATCCCTCCTGTTGTTTATGAATAGTTATATAACCATTTCCAGTTCCAGGTGTCCGAGTTCAAGGTGCTAGGTTCGAGGCAGTTTTCTGTCAGCTTGGTTAGGGCTCCATGGATAATTTCTAACGTTTCTTTATCCTGCAGTTTGCTCGAAAAGAAATTTTTTTTAAAAAAAGGTGGTTTCCAGTAATTCCAATAACTCAGCAAAATTTTGAGACAAGATTTGTTAATTCTGGTTTTGTATCTGACGCAAATTTTACCTTCCTCGCTGAAAGCCTCAACGTAGCTGTGTTTTCAAATTTTTGAAGCAGTAGAATGGTATTTGAAATAACTGTCGCAGTCATGGGACAGAAGTTGCTACTTATTGATTTCAACAAGCAGATAAACTTTTCAACTTTTGAGAATTTTTGTTTTGTAGGCGTAATATAACCAGTAAATCATAACCAGTATATCGGAAAAATGCAAAAATCAGCAATGATAAAAAGCACAGTAACCGCTTTTAACTACAAAAAAAATGAAACTGTTAACTTCTTCAACAAAAAATTACCAGACAATCAGTCAATTCACTCCTAGTGAGTTTTGGATAAATGCAACAAAGATGGATCGAAAATTGCAAAATCTTGTTTTGAAGACGTCAACAATCGGTATCAGATTAATAAATTCAGTGGTTTTCTTGCTCTGGAAACATCCTCGCAAACAACACAAAGAGTTTAAGTTTATGGACTTAAAATTTTTTGAGATGCTGATAAGATCGACGTTTTTTTTTATGCCACTGCGGAAAAATGACAGTCAAAAAAACTGATAGAAACACTTGGTCTGGTTTCTAGAAGCGATCATACGTTTTTTAACGAAACTGCGGTTAAAAGGACTGGGGCGCTTACACCATTAAATTGAACAAAACGTAATGACATCTTAACTGCTTACGCGAGTTTTGTGCAAAGATCGGAGCGGTCAAATTTCCGAAAAATTTACTGGAACCGTTTCATTGTTGGTTTATTTTGAATAAGGGCAAAATTACACGTCAGTATTTCGCTGTTTATTGATGCCAGATCTGGCATCATTCTTGGCTGTCACTCTGTCAGTTTTCATGGCCATCGTTTTTTTCTGGGGTTAAAAGTAAAGGTAGCTCAACAGCTTCCCAGTGAACCAACTTGAAGCCCATAAGCTTAAACTCATTGTGTAGTGTGCGGATATGCTTCTACAGCAAGTACACTTCATAAACTAATTAAAATGTGCTGACTTTTTAATGCCTTCAAAATATAGTTTATCCAGTTTTGATCCGACTGGCATCTTTCAACAAATTTCATCAACCATGTTTCAAAATTTTAACCGTTTAACCAAAATAGATGCAGAAAAAAAAGACTGAAACGTGAAAAAAATGTTCATTTGCTCGTACAAATTGCGACTCTAGAAATACAAATCAAAATTTAAAAATGCCAAAATGCCAAAAAATGCCAAATTTTCTGTGCTTCGACTTCAGTTGACATGCAGACTGTGAGATGGTTAACTTCAAGTAGCTTTGTAAAAACTCACTATGAAACAAAATTAGGAAAATAAAAGTTCACAGTTTCTTAGTCAGTCTTTAATAATGATACTCTACCAAATTTTTATTAATGTTTTGGTATCCAAGAAATCTATTGGCACATTCATTTACATAATGTATTACATAATGGAGTTATAAAAAATTTCAAAAAGAAACACTTTGAAAGGGCTTTATACTGTTTTAAGAAAGATCGAAAAATGATTTGATCAACCCGAAAATTACACTTTTACGACCACGTTCCTCATAGAAAATATAAGGGAGTGTAGCGGAGCCATTTTTGCTACTTGTCAGAGCTGCGTATGAAGTTAAACTATAAATTTAGCTAATTTTTGACATATTTAGAACATTGGCTGAATTGCTTTTGTCTGAAACAACTTGAAGTTTTCACTAAAATAATTAGTATTCTAACATGATAAAACTTTTGGCCGAGTCGTACGCGCATCATCGAGAGTATTTGTAAACAGACGAATTTTTTCTACAATTATCAATTAAATTCGAATGAGAGTTTTTGGGCGAGCATATTAATTTTGGTTCCTGCAAATTGTATCGGCGCTTTCGATAGGTCTGAATTGGTTTGTCTCGAAATAGTTTAATTTCTCTCCACATACGAAGCAAGTTTTTTTGTTGAGCAAATCTTTTTTAGCCACCCAAGACCGTTTGCGTCTAGAACTTTCACGTGGTACCATTATTGTAGCCGAAACCGTTGTGGTAGAACCGACGCTAGAGGTCAAGTGTGAGCTTGTCATTGGACAATCTAGTTTCTGGTTATTTATCAAAGAAACTCCGTCAAAATTGTATTTTTTACAGGTCGATAAATAGGGGGACGCGGTGCAGGTTTAGGGGATCGCCTCCCATTTTCCCTCTGAAAATTTGATCCCTTGATGAGCCACTCCTTTGATACAAATTTAGGACAACCAAGTTGATTTTTTGAAACTTTTTTGAAAACTCACCTCCCCTCAAGAAAATGCTAGATCTGCCCCTGAGTAAATCTATTCGTTCTGAAGATATAATTTGAACCAAAAGCGGATCTATGATTTTCTCGAGAGGGACATTTTCTCGAAAATTTCGGAGCGCGCTCCCCTTCAAAGTTGGTACATTTTGGCGCCATAGGCGCCTTTAGAAAGATTTTAAGATTTTGGTTGGCCTAAAATGGATATCATGAAATAAATACAAAGGGGGACCCTTTAGTTGGTGATCGGATCGAATCTCTAAATGAAAAAACATACGCCCTCTCCCCTAATTCGGCATCTGATTTGAATTAAGTCTAAGTCTAGTTTAAATCATTTGAGCGTACTTCGAACACTATTTTATTCTTTGGTGTGTTGGTTTTGGGTGGATTGGCGAGCCTTTATTTTGACCTCTACAACTTTATCTGGCTCTCTTGACCTCTTAACTTTTGCAGTTTTGAAATCTTAAATTTTGAAACTCGACAGTTTTTTCTGCAGGTTTCGCTTTAATTCTAGGATTAATTAGAAGAAAAAAAACATTTCTAATAAAATCAGTGCTCTGTGTTTCGGGATGTTTTGCACCGATTGAAAAGCGCAGTGCTTAATCTAAAACCATTTTTTTGCTATTGAAATTAAATTTGTTGTTATTAAAAAAAGTTACCACCTTGAAAACAATAATCCAGCAAATAATGTCAGTCAGCTGAGAACGAGTAAATTAATAAAATCGAGTTTGCTCCTCTAAAATCTTTTTTGGATGCAAGTGGAAAACCAGTTTCATATATTAATCTTCGACAGGTGTGCTGATTGAATAGCCGGGATTACATCCGAACAAAAACAGAATTGGGACGTCCGGTTTCTAAGGTATTGCAACAGTGCGTTTTTCCGGACTTTTTTTTCAATGCTGGCAGTACCAGAATTAACCAACACAACTGCTTTAAAAAATCGTCTCCTTTGTTTGGAAGAGTTTTTTTGAGCTTGAGCCTTTGTGACGTTTTAACAAAAAAAAGGTTGTTTCCACATTTTTTTTTTCATTTTTGTTTCCCTTGGCGCCTCAACCAAAGCAATTAAAACGTTTTGAATCTCATAAGATTTCGAGGAAAAACAACTAATTGAAATTTTATTTCAAATTAGACCCTGTGAGATTCTATTTTGAATACTTAGATCTGAATTTTGCTCAAATTGAAGCAATAAAGATCTAAGAAACCATCTTTTCCATTTATGTTCAATTACAAGACCTGTTGATTTCTAAAAAAATTAAATCGCTTCAATTTGGTTTAAAATGGTTTTTGTGCTATTGCTTATTTCAAAAAAGCCGGTCTTTATAAGAAACTTAGTGGGGTTAATGATGACTGTGTGGGGATGTAGTCGAGGGGAGAACCTACAAGGGGGTCTTCGCAGCAGGGGGGACAGTCTGTTCATTGACGATGGCGACGGACGCAATATCTATCTTTTCCAGCCTACAAACTGTGAGTTTGAACACTTTGGAATCAAGTCAACATTTTTTGGTATCTTGTAGCGGAATTCTCGGGAAAAAATCATAATCCAAAAAACCCCAGAGTTAGAAAATTTTGTGAGTTCAAATATGTTTTTTTTTATTTTAGAACATTTTTGCATAAATGAGATTCATGGTCGGAACAATCTGTGCTGTTTGCAGAGCAGCCAATTAATTTTCTTATTTTTTGAAAATTTAAGAAAAAAATGAACAGTTTGGACAAAAATTTTGTCGGAGCATTGCGTGAGAAATGCAATCAGGCTCTTTCATTGTACTTTTGAAAAGATAAAACACTATTTTGCTCCGTATTTTGCCACTTTTTAATCGGCTGTGCAAAAAGGAAGTTTTTCTACATTTGTGGGTAGCTCTAAGTTACCCTCAGATTTGGTTAGCTAACTTTTGCCTCCTATTTTGTTAACTTTAAACCAATTGGCCAGTTGAGATAAACAAGGATAACTGGTTGAGCTGTTTATCAGTCGATTTGACGTTCTATACCCAATTGCAAACGGGTACAATTTAACAAAATAAAGAAAACGCCCAAATATACCTTTTTTGCAACAACTATTTAATCTTCTGAGTCTTTTTTCCAACATTCTTGATCAGCACTTGTTTTTATCCGTTTTTTAATTATTACTACAAATCCACTTTTCCAATTCAATTTTATTTGAACAGTCTAATTCAATTAGCCGCACGTTTTTTTTTATTTGGAGTACAACCTTTGATAAACATAATGTTTCCTTGGTGTAGTTTACAACTCACAAATGTAGTTGTCATTTTTCTATTAAATTTTGTCAATTTAGTTTTAACTATTAATCCACTTCCGCCACAAACAGGTAAGTTTTTTGTTCTAATTTTCGAAGACGACCACGTATATCTGGGTTTTCTTAAACTACGACTTCGGCTGATCAACTCTAGCCTTTGAAACTTACGACAGCTTTCAGAAAAATTTTCTGACAAGATAGGGTTGTTTTGGTGTTTCCTGCGGGCTTGGAAAAAAAACCCTATTCGAAACAAGTCGAAGCCCCCTACTTCGCAATATTAATTATGATTTTACAGTTGTTTTAAAAGGTTCGAAAAAGCAAATAATTTTTTTTTTGAATTTCTGTTCCGTGAATCAAAGAGCAGTTTTTTTACGAATTCAAAGAACTTCAAACCAAGAGAAACAAAATTATTGTTTATTTTGCAATTTTGGTGCTGATGATAAACTTGACCTCAGTAAAATCACTTTGAAATCATTTAACAGTTCAGCTGCATGAATAACAACTTCGAATCAATGTTTAAGTACGGAAATGGCTAATAGTGGATTCACAAAGCGTCAATCATCATTTTTCTGAATTAACATCGAAAATTTTTTCTGTTTCACAACATTTTCTTGACTTATAATATCTCCACATGAAGAATTTAGCTTTTTTTTTCAGGTTTGTTTTAACAATAAAAATAATGAGTTTCTGAAATATAGCACCAGTTTTGCTGCTCACCGGTTTTGAAAATTTCATGGCTATCATTTTTTACAAGACTATCACAAGCTGTTTGAAATTTTTTGTCTTTTTATTTGCGAAATAACAGCTTCAAATTATTAGAGTACATTTTACAACTTTTTGCACTGTAGATGGAATTGTTTATCGTTCAACTCCAGAACGTTCAAGAAATTGATTGAGTATCACTTTGGATCATTTCGAACCAAAATTTGACCTTCAAAAGACGAGAAATGACAAAGAGACGCGTCTGCTCTAGTAAATGTACTCGATAATGAGCAAAATAAATAAATTGAACGCATTTCAGCAGGTAGTTGAACGAATTAGGCAGTGAAAAAATAATTGATTCACGATTTGCTTGCCGCGAAATCGAAAGAAGATGAGACTAACGGTTGTAATAAATAGTGATCAAGTTTTCTTCTAATTAGTCGTTCTGCATTACCGATTTTTCATATTTGTTTTTTTTTCATGTGGTCCAAGCAGACGTATTTTGTTACCATTTACCTCAAAGACTAAAATTGGAAAATTGTCTCGAGACAGAAAAAAATTGGTCTAAGTTTTTCCTTTTTTGGTTAAATCAAACATTGATAAGAACAGTCAGTCTGAGCATAGTTTATTTGATTATTTTAGGTACATTCATCAAATGTTTTTCAAAAAAAAACAATCTCAATCTGAAAGCTTTTCTACCATATTAGGTGTCTCTACAAGTTCTACTATTCTCAGCACATCAATGATATATCACAACCGATACATTTTTAAATTAATTTGGAGGCTTTGTTTTGTCTGATAGCCATGGATAGGGTTTTATACCTGATAATCAGCTGCTTAATCAAAAACCACAAAAGAGGGAACTATAAAGCACATTTTAAATCTAAATTGAATATTTGAACCGCCTTCCTTTTTTCAAAAAAGTTGACTTTTGTCGTTTTCTTAGTTTAGAGTCTTGTCACAAAAACAGTTGACTTAATCTCAGGCAGAGTGTGTTACTTTGATGTTGCAAGATAATTCTATTGAATATAACTTATAATTGTTCCGACTTTCGATACGAAAGTAACGGAATATTTGTGCTCGGGGTGGGTTTTTTTTTTTCTTCAGACAAATTTCGACTTTTTAACTAGCCATTTTTGACGGAATTTTTTATTATCATTCAAAGGGTATTGTTGTCCTGAGCTCAAATTTGTGATCTCTTGTGAGCTCACCTGTGATCATTTTTCGTAAAGTTATGGGGGTTTAAAGATTGCCATTTTGGCCAATTTGGGACAATTAACGCGCGATATATTTCGCGCTATTAACGCGTAAGCGGAGAGTTAATCCGTCTTAAAACCGTTCCAAATTGGTTAAAAGAAGCTTATTTGCCATAATTGATTGGTTACAAGGAGCTAAATCTATCTTTTTGTACTTTAAATGGCGTGTGGGGGGATGATTTTCATTAAAAAAATTTCAAATTAAATTTTTTTTTAAAAATTTTATTACATTTAATTGTTTAATGTTATTACTGCTCCATAAAACCTTAAAAGGCAGTCGGAACATTCAGAGCTTCGCCCTGATACGAGCAGTCTTGTTGTTCCATTTGTTGCCACTATCAAATTATAAAGTCAGAAACCTCAAAAAATCGAGCAAAGAATCATAATAAATTTAAATGTACTTTGTTTTTGCTAGCAGTTTTCTATGAATATATTTTTCTTAAGAAAAAATTGTTTGAAAAATTATGATGCGATTTTTTTATCCGGATTTTGAAACAAGTCACAAACTTTTAATACAAAAATCTATACAATTTTTTAAAAAATTTCCTCAACTGAGGCAACTGAAAAATACTTGTAAAATAACTTCTTTAGACTTGTAAAAAACTTCTGTAAGAGATCCTCATTGCAAATACCTACTTTTGATTGTTGAAGAAGTTCACTTGATGAAGTTCATTTGCTTATAACTTTATCTTCAAAAAACACTGAACTGTTTGGGATCATGCAGGGTGCTGAAAAAGATCAAATTGAATAAGAAAGACGTATCGATCTTATTAAACCAATTGTTCAAAGTGTTCTCATTTGTTCCGATAAAGTAATTCAGAAAAAACTTATTTTGTGTACGCCGATTACAATTTTATTACAAAATTGCACCATTTCAACGTAAGAATAACAGTTTGACTTAAAACCACACAATTTAAAAATCAAAAAGAAGACACTAGAAATTAGACTTTAAAATAAAAACATGATACGGGTTTTGTCGGTCGCAATTTACACCTTTTTTCCCTCATTAAATATTAAGAGGCGGTAAAACAAAACCGAGGTACAACAGTGCCAAAAAACAAAACTTTGAACAACAGAGCCGAAAAAATTGACTTCTGTTTTTACTCATCCCAAATTGCTGACAATTAGTTCAAATCAACGTTTAATTCAAATGACGAAGTTGAAAAGTCAAAACTGATCATTTTAATTGATGCCGCTTCTAAAACATACAAAAGTTTCTCAAGCGCGACGTCATAAGTTTTTCTGAGCAAATATTTGACTCAGCAAATTGCCAATTTTTTTTTCGGTTTCAACAATTCTCAAACAAAAATAAAAATTTTTCAAATATCCTCAATTTTCGGCACTGTTGTGCACTTTTTCAGTTTTGGCACTGTTGTACTTCAGCACTGTTGAACGCCTCAATATCAAATAAAAATGAAATTTTGTTTTCAGGTTTTTAATTTAAGTTTTCAAAAGTCCAACTAAAGCAGCAGTTGAATTAGGAGGAGGTACGAGATAACTTAATTATCCAATTAGCAAGAGAGACAAATATTCTTAAATCATGTTTTTTGACAATTTTTTGAAAAAATTTCTGATCATGTCACCCCTTGAGAAATTTAGCGGATCTTTTATTCTCAAGGGGCAACATGATCGGAAAATTTTTCAAAAGTGCTTGAAAAATCAGTTAGGTCAAACTAAACAAAAGATCGACAACATTTTCGACAAATTTTTAAATTTCGCCTCCCCTTTGAGAAAATATTAGATCCGCCCCTGATAGAGATCGATTTTTAGTGACAAAAAACCGAGACTTGCAAGCTAGAGCGCTTATTTAATGGAGCTCTTGGAGTGAAATGTTCTTCGCAGAGTCTTTCCTGATAATTGTTAAACTGTGTATGTAATTGCTTTCTTCATAGGTGGAAATGAAATTGAACCGAATAATAACCGACCAATCAGCCTTCTTTCAACCATTAGGATTTTTTCAAAATGTATGTACAGACACCTATGATCACTTTCTTTGCAGAAATTAAAAATTATTTCTCCCAAGTAATGGAATGGCTCTTGGTTTTCACAAAAACTTCTGATATAGTTGATCATAATATTTCAATTAAAAAATTTTAAAAAAATATAATTTTTTTTTGGTTTTCAGAAAGTTTCTGTATAGTTAATCATAATTTTTTAAATAAGAAATTTTAAAAGTATATCCTTTTTGGGGGGGGGGGGCAAATTTTTGAACCTGATGAAAAGTCATTGAAGCAACCGCGTAAATTTTGTAACTC